GCAGCGCGATGAAAGTTCTCTCATCTTCGTCACTGTCGGTGCTAGGGGAACGTCGGTGTAATCAGCCCCGCACCCGAGGCCCTCAGGTCCTCGCCGCAGTCGTCGCTGCCGTCTTCGGCTACCTTGGGCATCTTGCATGGTTTGATGCCGGCTTCTGTATCAGCTTTCTGCTTTCCCTTTGGTTTTACCCGGGCATCAATCCGTAGTGCTGTCTGTTGTTGTTCATTTCGGATAAAGTGAGTGTCGGAAATTCGGGGATATGGGGTGGCGCGAGGCCGCGCTCAGTCGAGGGGGGGGGGAGACGATCGCCATCGACGGTCGTGGCCCGCCTTGGGCGCGGTCGCTGCCCCTCGCTTCCGAGTAAGACTAACGCCGGAGGCTCCCAGTACAGTCGAGTATGAATGTTCGCCACGCCTTTTGGTAATGGCGCATTGTCATTGTACCCGATAGGTTGATCTTGAAGCTGAATGCCCTGTATAATCGAGTTGTCGTCGAGGTTCATCGTCACCCGGCGTGCCGCATAATCCCATTGAGAGCCGTTCTTAGGAGACTGGACGTCAGTCCGAGATCCTTTGTCCACTCGTGCGTGTACGCTGAGGCGCACTGTAATTGCATGACGTGTCTCTTTTTTTTGTGATCGTCGATTCGATCAATTAACTAGCCTTGCAGTCATGATAGCAAGCGCTTTTTTCCCCATTCCGCCCTCTGGGCGCCTTGGCCGCACCAATCTAACTCATATTCAGCGCGCTGCGCAGGTCGCCCCGCAGTTTGGCGCGCGCATGTCCGCAGATTGGCGGGGGTGCGCGCGTAGGTCGTTGCCACCTGCAAGTGCGGACCCCTCGGTAAACGACTCGAACGGTGCAACTTCAGACCGAAGTGGCAACATCGCACACGCATGATCTTCCAGCCTAAATCTTCAAAGGCGTCGCGCATAGGACTTTACTTGTCAGAAGTATCCTGCAGGTCCCACAGGCGCAAAAGAAATGCGTAAACGTAGAGCCCGAGCTTCGACCGTAAGACTCTGGCTGCTAAGGTAGTGTGGCCCCGCCCGCATTCCAGGCAATCGTGCGTGCCAGTCAGCAGGCGCTGCCACCCACAGTAGCTGCAACCCCCCTGCTAGTAAACCATCCAAGAACTGCGTACCAGTAGAGGTCATAACCTCTGCGCGTGTAATACGGTCACACATATATCCTCGCGCTCGGAGTTCAGCGCAAACTGTTCGTATATCTTTGATGACAAGGGCATGAGAATGATAATGATGAGATGAGCGTGTTTTTTTTTCTGCGGCAGCCGCACAGCCGGGTCTGCCGCTGTCCCTGGCGAGCACAGCCGGCGCTTGGGAAAAAGCATGCAGGTGCCCCCGCGCCTGAAAGCAGCACCTCAGCTCTCGGCCTGTCGGGGCGCGCGCGAGTGGCCGTGGCGCGCCGCTGCCCCGTCACTCATTCTTAAGCGACGCTGGCGCCCGGGCGCCCGTGCCTTGGGCCCCTGCACAACTGCCCGAAGCAAAGATGTCATACTTCTCGGCAGCGTCGCTCGATGCAGCGGGCTGCCCCGCAGCGCTGTTGGGCGGCGCCCATTTTCTGCCCTCTGCGTAAATAGCCTGAAAGACCTTCCCTGCAAGTTCCGCAAGGCGAAGTTCTGATCGGCAGGCGTGGGGTTGCCATCAAACGCTGTATTCCTGGGATACCTGGGTTTGAGGGTGTTGTCCACCATGCACAGGATCGCGCAAGAAAGCGTCTCCTCGTTGATGGAGTGACTGATGCCCCTGGTGTCCCGGGACATCATGTATGCGTGGGCATCGTCAGGAGCGGGTGCCCCCGCGCTGCTAGACGCAGGTTGCCCCGCCATCGGCTCCACATCTGCGGCCTCCTTGATGAGCACGGGTTCCTCCTCGCACCCAAGGGTTGGCCGTGACAGTAAACGCTGTCGAGCGATTAGCCTCTGCTGCGGCCAGGCACTCGTCGACCCTGATGGCCAGGTGCCATGATGGTGTCCTTCAGAAGTCCAGCACCCTGGCGCCTTTACCAAGGAGGAGCCTGTGCATGTCTGTACCTGGGATGACCATATTTGCATGTCCCTGTTCAAGGATCAAGATGGTGCTCATGCTCGACATGCTCCTGAATCCAAGGATTGCGGGTCGATTCTCGCCAGATCCCTCTGCCACATTGGTTGAGTAGGTGTCTAGCCTGGCAGTAGTGGGTGTCCCCGCGGAGCCGCCCCGTTCCTTGCAAGCAATTTTGCCATGTATTGACTTGTCGCACGCGGCGGCTCCATGCCCCACTCCAGACACTGACGGTCTCTTTGTCAGATCCAGCTTTTTGATGTCGTAGCCATGCGAGCGTGAAGCTCGCACGAATGTCTGCGCAACTTTCAAACCAATGATGTTGATATTGCTGCCAATGTCCAGTCAGAGAGTCAACATTCCATCAGCCATGGTCCCACTGTTCGCTGCCAGGGCCAACTCGTGTCGTTCACCGACTATGCCCGGCAGAGCGGGCAGTGTCGCGCCGTGCACCCTTACGGCGCCTTTGATGCCATATGCAGCATGTCTCGCTCAGATATGGCACTGGCACCGCTGCGCACACTCGCTGGGCTCTCGGTCCTGCGCGAGCGTAGCGGGTTTCCCCGCGCCCTGCCATATGGCGTGCGAAGCCATTGCGAGCTTGCCCCAGTGCTCTGTCTATGCGCCTCAGCCATGCCTCATTGGCAGGCAACCCTGCTGGCATTGCAGCAGGTGTCCCTGCAGTCGCTGCTGATTCGGCCACCAGAGGCATCTGCATTTCTGCGGCTGGCATCGTAGCTGTTGGGCCGGTCCGGCCACGCATGGGGAGGTGCAGCAGGCTGCCCCGCAGATGCAGCTGGTGGCTCTGCAGTAGCTGTAGTGCCTGTCATCATCGCCGTGATGCGGTTCAGCTTTTCACAGAGGTTTCTGAATGCATTTCCCCCCCCGGATATTTCTTCATGTCGATCCATGCGATATTTCTTCATGTCGATCTACTGCTCCCCCTTCCTCCCCCTCCCCCTCTCACCATCCCCTCCCCCTCCCCCATCCCCCCCCCTCCCCTCCCCCTCCCCCTCATCCCCCTCCCCCCCTCCCCCTCCCCCTCCCCCTCCCTCCCCTCACCCCTCCCCCTCCCCCTCCCCCCCCCTCCCCCTCGCCCTCCCCCTCCCCCTCCCCTCCCCCTCCCCTCTCTCCTGCCCCTGCCCTGCCCCCCGCCCCTGCCCCTACCCCTGCCCCTGTCCCCCCCCCTCCCCGCATCCTCCCCCTCCTCCCCCTCCCCCTCCCCCTCCCCCTCCCCCTCCCCTCGTCCTCGTCCTCGTCCTCCTCGTCGTCTCCTCACTCCTCCGCCTCTTCCTCCTCCTCCTCCTCCTCCTCCTCCTCCTCCTCCTCCTCCTCCTCCTCCTCCTCCTCCTCCTCCTCCTCATCTCTCCTCCTCCTCCTCCTCCTCCTCCTCTCCTCCTCTCCTCCTCCTCCCTCCTCCTCCTCCTCCTCCTCCTCCTCCTCCACCTCCTCCTCCTCCCCCCTTCCTCCCCCCTCCTCCTCCTCCTCCTCCTCCTCCTCTCCTCCTCCTCCTCTTCTCCTCCTTCTCCTCCTCCTCCTCCTCCCCCTCCTCCTCCTTCTGCTTCCTCCTCCTCCTCTCTCCTCCTCCTCCTCTCCTCCTCCTCCCCTCCTCCTCCTTCTTTCTCCTCCTCCTCTCCTCCTCCTTCTCTCCTCCCCTCCTCGTCCTCGCCTCGCCTCCTCCTCCTCCTCCTCCTTCCCAACCTCCTCCTCCTCCTCCTCCTCCTCGTCCTCGTCCTCATCCGCCTCCGCCTCCGCCTCCGCCTCCGCCTGCTTCTCCTCCTCCTCCTTTTTCTGCTCCTCCTCCTCCTCCTCCTTCTCCTCCTCCTCCTCTTCTTCCTGCTCCTCCTCATCCTCCTCCTGCTCCTGCTCTTGCTCCTGCTCCTCCTCCTCCTCCTCCTCCTCCTCCTCCTCCTCCTTCCTTTCCTCCTCCTCCTCACTACGTACGGGACTGCAAACCACATGCTCCTGCTCCTCCTCCTCCTCCTCCTCCTCCTCCTCCTCCTCCTTCCTTTCCTCCTCCTCCTCACTACGTACGGGACTGCAAACCACACATCCCTTTCTACATTGGCGGGACCGGCTGAAGCAGTTCGGGGCTGTTGCTACGGTACGGAACTTGTGCTCAGCGTGTCGCGGCGGCGAACCCAACGACATACTAATATGCTGTTCTGGGATCGCATGGCGTGTCGGACCCCTGCCCAGGGCTGGAGGCTGGCGAAAAAATCGGGACGCTCGAGGCGAAAGCGTGGTGGCCCAGAACCGATCGCGCGACACGCGGTACGCAAAAGTACCCGATCGCAGCTGTGCGCTCTTCGATCTGGGGCATCAGCCTCGGGTCGCTTCGGGGGTTCCAAGCGTTGCGGTGGCACACCTGCGGTGACCCTGAGTCCCCACTGACTCACCACGCGGTGTGGCCACCAAACCGTCGGGCAGTCTAGCAGCAATCAGCTGCTGGTGGGGGGGCCTTCTTCGCATGTTACGCTTGCTGCCGCCGCTCGCTCTTCCTCTCCTGCTCGGCCTCTTTGTTGTTGTCTCTCTCTGTCTCTCTCTCCTCCCTGCTCCCGCTTCCTCCTCCTCCTCCTCCTCCTCTTCCTCCTCCATCTCCACTGTTCGACCTCCCCCCCCTCCCTCTCCTGCCCCCACTCCTCCCCCTCCCTCCCCCCTCCGTCCTCGCTTCTCCCCTAATTACCCTGAGGTCCGACTGGTGCAACATCGCAGACAATCGCGCCCGGAGCCCCAGATCCCATCTCCCTGCGTCCTTTGCCCAGCCAGATCGGTCTGTGAGAGCCCCGGGGGCCCCAAACGGGGCGGCACCGCCCGGTTGCGTGACGACGCTGCACCGCCAGGACCTCGGGTCCCCTTCCGCCCCTCCGCCCCACGCGCCCCCGCCGTGGGCTCCCTGGGCGCGGCCCCGTCTTGGCCACCTCCCCGCCCCGCGCGCCCGCTCGACGCCAGGCCCGGCCGCCCGGGGCGCGCCTCGGGGGCCAGGGGAGGGGGGAGGAGGAGGAGGAGGAGGAGGAGGAGGAGGAGGAGGAGGAGGAGGAGGAGGAGGAGGAGGAGGAGGAGGAGGAGGTGGGAGGAGGAGGAGGAGGAGGAGAAGGAGGAGGAGGAGGAATGAGGGAGGAGGAGGAGGAGGGGGAGGAGGAGGAGGAGGAGGAGGAGGAGGAGGAGGGGGAGTGGGAGGAGAGGCGCACGCCGGCGCCCCGTCGAGGAGGGGGTCCAGAATATTAGGGCACATTTAGAGGAGGGTCCGGTTTCTCAGGGGGGGTCGATGAGTAAGGGATTTGCAGTACACACTACCACCGCGCCTGGCCAAGGCCATCTTGACCCACTGGGTGGCGTTTGCATGCCCTTCTGGCCTCGGCCGGGAGGGTCCTCTTGAGCCCCAGGATGGCCCCCGTGAGGTCATGGTGGTGGTGGTGTGTGCATGCCTTCTGCGGGCAACTGCTGCTGCATACAGTAGGCGCATACCATGAGAAATCTTGCCGTGAGAAATGTTGGGGCGCAATACTCGTTGATCCTTGAGGGTCGGAAGGCCTAAGGTGCCCCAGAGCAACTGTGGGCCCCTGGGGCCATCGAGGGATGAGAAATTTCCGTGGGGCACCTGCTGGCAGGCCGATTTCATACTGGATGTGCCTACTGCCGGTTTGCCCTTTTGTTAGGGCCAAGTCGTGGAGACCATGCTGGGGCACGAATTTGCCTGCAGGGGCCGTCAGAACAGTGACGGGACCTAGTCTGGAATTTGACGCGAACTCCTGCTGAAAACATCGCACGAAAACGAGACCGTCAAAATGCACGCCGAGACTCTCAGACAACGGCGGCAAACCCGCGTTCCGGCCAACTCGAATATCGGCGTACGTTCCCCCGAACGAGGGCAGGCGACACGGCCACCAATCGAAGGAGCCAGGGAGGGCCCCCCCCCCCGGCGGCCCCGCGCGAAGGGGCGCTGCGCGCCCGCGGAGGCCACAGCTGCTGGAAGACGGCACTGCTTGGGAGGGGTGCTAAGGGGATAGGGGGGCTATCGGGCCCCCATCGGCGATCAGTGGGCGATTGGGCGGGGGCCGATGCAGGGTCCCCCTTTTGCCGATCCCCCCCTGTCTCGGCCCCGGGTTGGGCTGCAGGCTGCAATGGAGCGCGCAGGCAGCGGGCGAGCGCAGCAGACGCGTACTTGGATCGTCGCGGTGGTTGCAAAAAGGGATAAGGGGGGGTTTTAAGAGTGGATGCTAAAGTGGGCTTTATCCGGCCTAACCCACCTGATAAGCAGGTTGCAGGTGCCCTATGTGGCTTAGGGTGATGAGGCAACTCCGCCAAGTGGACTCCGCCCACTTTGCCCAGATCTGTACGCCCTCAAGCCAGTTAGGGCACGCGCGACCCACTCCTAAGCTGGGTTAGGCTGGATAGAACCCACCTTGGCATTCACCTGTATCCCCCTATCCTCGTAGCACCCCCCGTGGCCATCCAAGTGGGGGGGGCCTGCGGACCTCCGAGGCCCCGCGGCGATGCAAGTGGGAGGGCCTGCGGACCTCTGAGGACCCCCCCAACCGAGAGCCTTGGAGATCCTCTGGAGGCATCCGGGCCTCAGTGGGCCCTGGAACCCTGACCTCCCGGAGTGCTGGAAAACAGCTCCCCAGGCCTACAGACCTGTCTGGGCTGCCTGAAGCCTCGACGGGAATCTAGATGTCGGGGTCCTGGTGCTAGTTTTTTCCCTCTTGGAATATCAGGGGAGGACCCCCCAGCCGAGAGCCTCGGAGAATCTCTCGAGGCATCCAGGCCCTCGGCGGGACCTGGAAACGACAAGGCCAGTGATTTACAGGTTCCCGCTTTGCCGCTTCTGTGGCCGGCTCCGGCGAGCCGTGTGTGTTCCTGTTCCGTCGTCGTTCGTGTTGCCCGTTCCGGTTCCAGCTCCAATTCCAGAACCGTTTTTGTTGTCACTTCCAGATGCAAATGTTGTTTACCACTTCCGCTTCGTGCGGAAACGGTGATTTCAGACGAACCCTGCCGCTCCCTGGGCCCACTCAGACCCGGGCACCCCCCAAGAGCGCAAGGAGGCGCCTAGGAAGCCTCGGGATTGCTCCGAGACGCGACGGAGAGGATAATGACCATCATGACGATAACGATGCACTCATGGTGCTATTGGTGACAATGACGTCGACGATGGTGACGCTGACGAAGACGATGAATATGATGATGCTCATGACGATGACGATGACGATGACGATGACGATGATGATGATGATGATGATGATGATGATGATGATGATGCTGATGCTGATGATGACGAAAACGACGGCGATGATGATGATAATAATGATGATGGTGATCCTGATGCTGATGATGATGACGATGACGACGATGATGATGATGAAGAAGAAGATGATGATGATGATGATGACGACGACGACGACGACGACGACGACGACGACGACGACGACGACAACGACGACGACAACGACGAACGACGACCGACCGACCGACCGACCGACCGACCGACCGACGACGACGACGACGATGAGGACGATGACGACGACGACGACGACGACGACGACGACGACGACGACGACGACGACGACGACGACCACGACGATTCGACGACGACCACGACGACGACGCCGACGGCGGCGGCGCGCCGGGCGCGAGCCGCGGCTGCTCGCCGGGGGGCCGGGGAGGCACCCCGCCGCGCCCGCGGGGCCCCCGGGCCGCGCCCAGGCCGCCTGGCGGAGGCCGCCGCGGCTCGCCGCGCGCGAAAAGCGGCGGCCGCACGCACCCGGCCGCGCTGCTCGGCGAAGACGACAGCGTTGGCGGCGCGCAGGGCGGTTGGAGGTGCACGTCGGAGAAAGACACGTCTTGCACTGTCTTCTCGGCATGGGTGCCAAAGTGTCGACGGTCGGCAAGGCATCTCTGTATAATAGTGTTTTGCTCGAGCTCGCTGAGCAAGCAAGGGTACAGCCAAGGTTGCAGAGTCTTGGCCGAGCAAAAAAAAACATCATCGCCAGAGCGTGGGTGTTGCCAACTCCCTGTTGGCGGTGCGCGTCGAAAAACATGCCTGTAACCGCGGCCTCGCGGGCCGGGCCCCTGGGCCGCGACCCGGCGATGTGGGGCGTTTGCTCGTGGATGCCCTGTGCGGGACGTCTCTCTGCGACCCCGTGTCCGCCGGAGCGCGCCCCAGGATCCAGACCCAGAGGGCGCGCACGTGGATCGCCGCGGGGCTTGCTACGGGGATGGAGGGTTAGAAGTGGAGGCTAAAGTGGGTTTTATCTGGCCGAACCCAACTTACAAGTGGATTACACGTGCCCTAGGTGGCTTAGGGCGATTCGATCACTCCGCTAAGTGGGCTCCGCCCGCTTAGCCCGGATCTGTACGCCCCTAAGCCACCCACTTCTACCCCGTATCCCCTTAGCAACCGCCGCGAAGATCCAAGTAGGGGCAAGGGGGGAAGGCTTCTTGGAGGGAGGCTGCTTCTCAGGAGGCGCCGGCCTCGCATCTATGGACGAGGCGCGCGCCTTCTGGGAACCAGGGGTGCTTCTGAGAAAGCCTTCCCCCCCCCTGCACCCCGCTCTGCGCGTGGCCGACTCAAGCAGGCCGCGAGGGTCGGGTCGGACGAAGGTGGGGATGGATAGTATCGGTGATGGGCAGACCCCCATGTAGTGAAACGTGGTTTAGCGAAAATGACCTGAGGCACAAACCTGGCGGGCGCAAGCCTGGAAAACAACGACCACGGCGCCCTCTCGAGCACCGAACACGGATAATTCACTAATCGACGTGTCACTGTTCGGGGTTCTGTCCGCCCCCGATAGTAAGGGGAGGGTGGGATACCGAATCAGCCCACGCAGCTGGTTTCCCAGGCGCCTCTCGCCGCCGGAGGCGCCGGTGTACCGAGGAAGGCGCCCAGTGGTGCGTGCAGCGGGCTCCCCGGCCTGGATCTGCGGGGGGCAGAGGGGAAGCACACGTCTCGCCATCGCTCGGACGTCCATCCCCCCGTGCACTCGCGGTCGGCTTCGTGCGGTGCTTCGCTGCTCCGCAAGAAGATCCGAGGTGCTCCTCGGTGGCCTCGCTGCGAAAAGCGCGCGCACGGCCGAGCGACTCCAAGCCGTGGCGGGAGCCACGCGCGAACCTCCGGGGAGGCCGCGCGAACCTCCGGGGAGGCCGCGTGCGGTGCTTCGCTGTTCCGCAAGAAGATCCGAGGTGCTCCTCGGTGGCCTCGCCGCGAGAAGCGCGCACACGGCCGAGCGACTCCAAGCCGTGGCGGGAGCCGCGCGCGAACCTCCCGGGAGGCCGCGCGCGGAGAGCAGCGCGCGGGGAGCCCGCCAGCTTTTGCCGAGGCTGGCCAAAACCGTGCGTGCCCCACGCTTCCTGCAAGGAGCGGCCCGAACACGGAGAGCTCGGAGGCCTGGAAATTGGCAGCAACACCAACACAGGGGGGGTGCCTCCACAAGGGGGAAGATGATCCTAGATTTCGCTGTTGGCGTCCACCTCCAGGCCTGCGAAGAGGCCCCTGCTGAGGCCACCGCGGCCCGCACTTCAGCGCCCCAGCTCTGCGCCAGGGCCGTCGCACTGCTCGTGGGCTGGAGCTCCCCCTATCGTGGCTCGATGCGTCGAGCGAGGCCCGTATCACCGGCTGTGCACACCGCGATCTCTGGATGCCTCCTCCTCCTCCTCCTCCTCCTCCTCCTCCTCCTCCTCCTCCTCCTCCTCCTCCTCCTCCAGCCCTTCCCGCCCTCCTCCCCCCACTCCCGAGCTCACGAGCGCACGAGCGGAAGGGCACGCCTTACAGGCAAAGGGCGCCCCCAACTCCGAAAAACCAGCAAATGGCGGGGGGGGGGGGGGCACCGCCTCGTTCTTTCCGCTCCTTCTCCATCTCCTCCGCCTCCCTCTCCCCATCTTCCTCCTCCTGCTCCTCCGTCCTCCCCCATCCCTCTCCCCCGTGCTCCCCAATCCGTCCTCCACTCTTCTTCCTGCCTCTCACCCTCC